GATATTCGGGCATATTAAGTAGTGTCCTGAGCGGATTACCAGCGGGAACATATGGATTACAAAGTACACTTAGAACCCCATATGTTACCCACATCAAACTCAAATACCCACATAAATATGGGTCATATATAAGCCCATATATGTAATCCATATCAAAACAATTGCATAGAACAAACGATCTTGATGTTCATTCTCTCTACATCGCTGTTACCAGTTTTGGAAATATAACCCTCCCGAAATATCCCTGAATTTTTCAAAAGTTGGAAGAGTGAGAGGATTCTTGAAGCGTTTGAGCAAAAATACAAAGAACCCATTTGAAAGAAAAACAAAGAAAGTAAACAAAATGAGCTGACAAGGCAAACAAGGGCGAGGAAGAACAAGGAAAAGGAAAAAGGATGCAGGGAAAGGATTATGTGGAAAAGAGAAAATAGAAGTGGACATCGAGAGGAAAAGAGGAAAAGGAAAAGAAAGAAAACAATCGCGCAACGACGAAGATGTGAATCCCGTAGCAGTTAAGAAAAGGATTTCAAATGAAAGCTATAGAGCAGAATAAAGGAAAAATGATTAAGTAGAAAACAGAAATAAAAGTATGAATAAAAAAGTGAATACTGCGACTGAAAAGGGATAAAAATGAAAAAAAGAAAAATGGTAGGAGAGTGGCAGAAGTAAGAGCAGAACAAGAGAAGGCACCATTTGAAAAGGAGCAGGGGGACACAGGAAGGGTAATAGGAGCCGGGAAAATACTAAAAAAGAAGGCTCAATTAAGTCATTGAGAGCAAGCTTACAAAGATGTGGAAAAATATAGAAAAAATGTTAAGGAATGAGAAATAGAGGGCAAACTCCCCAGAAATTATAAAAGCTTGTAAAAATTTGCAAAAGAAAAGGAGGCGCTGGCATTAAAAGTGATTTAAAAAGGAAGAGAGAAAGGAACAGAATGAATATTTAAAAAAATTGACTGAAGATTGTCCCGTAAATGCGACAAATAGAAAACAGCTATCGGCTTGTCTAACAACAAGACTGCTTGGCTTGGAATGGGCGAGAAAATTAGGAAATAGATTAGAACTTTCGACACTACACCCCCCCCCGTGCCCAGTCCTCGAGAAATGGGCTGAAATCTGGATCAGACGCTTTCCAGACGCTAGATTTGGCTAAAATTCTTTCAACGAGTGTAGTTCGATCCCCAGAAATCAGAACGCCAATGTCACATCCGCTTAAAGCCAAAAACACCAGGCGCCCTGCAGTAGAAACTCAGCTGCGACAGCAGCTAGTAGAGTATTTTTGAGCGTTTTTTAATCGGGCAGATGTGGTAGGGGAGCATTGGAAGGGGAGGGGCAAAAAACCTCTTGGAACAGATCTGTGCAAAATTTTTTTGCACTTAACCGTGAGACACATTCTGGGCGTAGCGAGAAATTGCGCGAAACTGTGACTCGTACTATAATCATCTGATACGACTCCCTTCTCCACCCCCCTCCCGTTCCACCTAGCAAGTCTCCAATTTCTCCCAACTTTCTACACTTCTCGGAGATAAACCTAGAAAAGCCAACAACCGAGAGCCAGCATTATTCTCAAAGGTATATACCACTTCACTCCTTCAGGTTACCAAATACGACCCTCCTTGCCGAGGTCCTCTATTGTAACGATCTGTCCTGTTTGCGGTGTTTTGTCACTGACATCTGTGGTGCGCACACAACGCTTTCGAGTTGAGCGGATATGAAACTACATAGTGCTAAGGGGGGTCAACTTAACTGTATACAGAAAGTCCTACAATCTCAAGCAAAACTGAATTCCAAGAGTAAGGCTCTATGGGGTGAGCAAATAAAGCTTACCGCGTGTCATTGTCGCAGAATCGGAGCAGTTTGGCAACTTGGGCGCAGATCTGCTCTGTCTGGTTTCCTGGGGTTGTATGGCAGCAATGAAAACGTAGTGCTCGTAGTGGAAATATATTAATGTAACGGACGGCAAACGACGATCGCAGTTCTGCCCGGAGAAATACAGCCGCTTCGCCTTCGAGGCTTCCTGAAAACAAGGTGAAATTTTGAGAATCCCATTCAAGAATAATCCGATAGAACCACTTACTCTGCATTTCATACAAGAAAGCCCTGAAGCTCAACGCAGGCAACAGCTGAAATTGATCTCTATATGGGAATCCGCCGCGATGGGAGACGGCAATGGCTAGCAGTTGTGATGACAGCTTCAGAGAAACACATGAAGCTGTTGGAGAGATGGCAGCCACTGGGACGTCTCCAGATGAGGTCAGCGACAAGTTTCGAAGTGAGTGAAACGAGCAGGTTCCTGAAGATTCGGAGTGGCGAATTCAAAATCGAATACAGTTGAAGATTAGAAAAAAGAAAATAATATTAAGATCAAAAAACTGTCTTCTGCATGTATTGCAGAGTGGAAACTGAAAATAAGTGGCATGAAGCCTATAGCACGAGGGCAAAGCACTCTATGGAGGTGCCGAGTGTGGAATAAACCTCGCGCTAGTAGGTTTTAAGGGGGGGGCGAGGTGGCGCAATTCACTGGTTTCTGTTACTAGTTCCTGTTTTCTTACACGTCTTACCTTTGGTTGGATCTGAGGACCCTTATCAAGAGTAAACAGAGCACAGCTTTATAAGAGCTTACTGGTCTCCACTAGAGGCACCGATACTTGTCGAAGAAAACCAGTAAAGTGCCCCCACCAACCCGAACTGCTCCAAAAATCCTTTCACAGATAGGATGCCCTAGCGTCTGACCCTCTCAGACATTAGTTCCAAGTCCAAGAAATGACAGGTCGTCTCACCTTGCCTAACAGAGCCGCATTGTAGTACCGCATCGGGCAGTACTTGCAGGACTTTGTTGTGGTTGTCAGTATCGCGTAGTACCGCATCTTTCAGGCAGCTGCTTCCATCGACACTACACAGTGGAGAATCTCGAACTGGACCCGTAGAAACTGAATGGAGTGGCAGGAGTTCGCTGTCGGAAAGTACTGCAAGCTCGTTCACCGCACCGATGTAGACCTGGAAATGCACATTGTTAAACTGCAACTGTTTCAACCTTGCTGGTGGCCCTTAGTTGTTATCACTAAACTCAGCCAGGTGGGCGTAATCAACGGCGCAAAGTGGTTTTTTTTGGAGTGCCACCCTTTTCTCCTCCACTCAGCATGGGCGTTCAGCAACCAGAATGCTCAAGGAAAACGGATTGGCGCTGCGTCCAAAAACCAAAGTTCGCTGACACTCCCCTATTGACAAGCAAGTGCATGTGACTGTACATTGCTCGTTACTAATTTTCACTGTGAATTAACCATTAAGTATACCCAGTTACCAGTTATCATACCATTGGGAAAAAATCATATTCGTGATCATTTTTCTTGCCTATTAACTTCTCTAAACCAGTGAACACCATTACTGGGGAGTATTGAAGGTGCTAATCACGGGGGGGGAGGAAGAAGGAAGAAATTGACAATTTGGTGCGCTGCATAACTAGTTTTCTTATAGTTGAAATGAGCAGCTGATTGGTAACGACCTTTCTCTTCCAAAGTTTTTCCTAGAGAAAAAAAAGATAGAAAATCACTGAAGTTAGGGAAATTGGCAGGAGGTAGGATTATTTCAGGTAGATGGTAGGTAAGATGGAAAAAATGGAGGATCCGGGGCAGGAAATCGGTAGGTAAGATTGAAAAAATGGAGGGGCCGGGGCAGGAAATCGAGGGACTAACACCACCACGGACCGCGATGCTGATCCCCTGTTCTTCAAGCACCCATGAAGTACTGAAGAAAGTTCGACAACTGTCTGACAAAATTCGGAAATCGGGAAAAGGGAATTCCATGTATTGCTTAGGTTTGTTGCTTCAAAGCTAACATCCCCAGTATGAAAATAATCCGTGATATATTGAAAACTGGCTTATCGTATTACGCCTATAATTAGATGTTGTGGCAGCCTGAGCTAGCCAGTGCCAAGATTAATTAGAGGAACGAGGATAGTGACACCAAAACACCTAAGTCAACAATAACAATAATCACCAAGCTAGTAGTCAATATTAGTAAATAATTCCCAAGTCAAAGCCTAGGTTGTAAAGCCATCCCCGTAGGATTAAAATTTTTTTAGGGCTATAGGTTCAATTTCAGTTAAAATAGACGTTTTCGAAACCACAGCACAGTTGCTGTTCTATTTCTAGTTTCCTTTATTGATTCCTTCTTTCGATTTCCGATTTTTCTGCCATGAAAAGTCGTAAGATGGTGGGTAGGATGGAGAAGGGGGTCGTATTTTGCAATAAAATTCCCCCAGTGACAGGACGTGGCCTGAGTGCCATTGACTTGTCCATTTTCTCAGTTGACCATGCCCTTTTCTTTCCGTTGGAGCTGCGTACTTTGCATGGGACACAAATCGACTGGTGTTTAATTGACTCCGTACGAAACATCGCTTACCCAATCAGCAGACACAAATTTGAGGTTTTTTGCGAAGTTTCGCTTTTTTGAATGACCTCCTCGTGCAACACATCGAGCAAATGCCGAAACAATTACATCCGGCTGGACAGGGTTCGTTATCGTCTCGGTTCATCTATTTTTCATCAGCGGATTATTCGACCTAACGAGGACACAAAACAAAGTTCAGCCATCAGAAGGAAAATTCTGTACCGGTGGAAATATACCACAGAGACTTTTTGACAACGTTCCCTTCGATGGTGGTATCACTTGCACAGCCTGATCCCCTACGCCCCCCCCCCGTCCATTATTTAGGTAAAATTTTTTACCCGAAAAAAATGTGGCACTTTTGTGTGAAACTCCAGAAAAATGCAGGAAGCTGGGAGAACACAGAAACATTGAGGGTGAGAAGGGGGCGTACCAAGGTGAAATTTTAAGAGGGGGTCGTATTTTCGCAGAATTTGAGCATATAACAGAGCATAAAACAGAAAATCTGCTCCTTCATTCTTTAAAAAATCTTTTTTCATGGACTATCATTAACTATCATTTGAGGTCTCATTTTTTGGATCAAAATCGACGTAGTAGGCTATTAAAAAAATTGCTTTCAGTTATTTTATTAACATCAACTATCCCTGAATCGCTCTTAATATGCAATTAAATTTCCTGCGCGTATCAGTTGCTATCATCGATTATCGTGATCTTGTCA